TAATGGCGATTACCATTGTCAATAACATCACAGATTTGTTGAATTCATTACAATTATCCATGTATTTATAATAAACAAATTCGTATGACATTAGCTTGCAGTCCTAAGTGTGAAAAAGCCACYTATCAACAGTATGGCTGYGGGCTTACGTTTGACAGGAAATGYATAGGTGAGTATGAAAGATAATCGCGCGCATCTTTGCTTAGTCTCGTCGCTAGACCGAGGCTGCACTCTTGCAGCTGCAAATGCTGGAAAAAATCACTGGAAAAAATCGCGCACTTACAAGGTTGTAAATTTGATGTAAATATGGTGTAAGTGTCCAACATTATGTAAATTTGTTGTAAATTTGATGTGAATCATTTACAACAAATTTGCATCAAATACACATCATTTTGGACACTTACATCATCAAATTTACAACCCCAAAAAGTGCGCGATTTTTTTCAGTATGAAAACGGGAGTCTGAGTAAGAGGCTTCGTCTGTTCAGATAAACAGCGTAGAAGAGATAGAGTTAAGGAGAAACAAGCTCAGAGCGCATCTTTTCAAATTGCTGGCAAGCCATATCGTTGAGCTCTGACATATTTTGGTCCGCATCAGCCAATAAGAACGCACGCTTGATATCAAACAGCTTATAAGTAATACTGAATTGAAAATGTGAAAAGTGGGATTAAAAAAGATCATTTGATTTCCTTTTACAGTTTATAGAAAAATAGTACAAMGATTGTATTAGCTATTAACAAATATTACAACCTCTTTTCAGACATTTCCAAGCCACTTGTCATAGCAAGTAAAAGAAACATCACAGAAATTGTAAAAAGTAAGTTTACTTTTTTCAAAACCATACACTGAKTAAATTAAGCATGACGTCATGCGATGTTGGGCGAGGTGCATTATGGGATTGATGGAAGTAAAAATGGAAGCCATGTTGTCATTTCAGGTTGTTCTGCGAGGAACAAGCATTGCTTATTTCTAAAAGGTCTTTGAGGACACTTCAGTATACTGGCATTTTGTTTCTAAAGCATATTTGAAAACGAACCAACGCTAATTTTGCAAAGAATTATTTAGGTTTCATAAGACAACCACTAATTTGACAACYACCATCTTGATTATCAATACCATGGTGAACTTACCAAAAAGGCATCTTTTCAAATATGGCGTTGTCTGTACTGAAGCTAGACCACAATGCACCATGATTCCATACTTTCTATGACGCCATAGGTGAAAGGGCTATTATATTATTCAATATATTGAAGAACTAACTTATTTCTCAGCTCGCGCTGGATCAAAAGTACTGGTGCCCAAGTCAGCCCCAGTCCTCTTGGAGAACCGATTGCAAGTACGAAGTACAAATCATTCATTCACCATCAAAGACGGAGAATCGGCCAATTTTACTCTTCATCGAAACACTGGGTTCGYTCTCGACGTAGAGATGTTTGATACCCACCTTACCTCGAGGTAATATTAGTCAATTTTACTGYTGATCTCGAAATTCATGAAATTTGTCACGAAGTTGAGAAACGTTTATTGAAAWCTCAAATCTCCAAAAAAGTCTATTAGAACTATTCTATTGCGCAATGCAATCAACGCTAACTCCACGAGACTCCAATATGGCTGCCCTGATAGCCGATACCGGGCATCTTTACTATGCCGAGTACTAATGCATGATTCACTGATATAATTTTTACTGCTAAAGCAATCTATCATTAATATCAATAAATCTATAATCCAATCAATAACCTTTTATTTTTATCATTATTTAGATATGTGGATCATGATGGAAGACGCGGTAGTAACAATCCTACMATTGCTTCAATTCCTGGATTTACCTACATTACAAGTAGTTTCTGTCGTTTCCCTGCTCAAGATTACTACGAGCTGAAACACAAACTACACAGGCAGCGACAGACAAAAGTAAATAGTGCTGTATGCCGAGAATCCAACTTATGCCCCAAAGACGTCGAGATTGGTGAAAAATACTACTAYCGRCAAGTYAAAGAACCATGTCGATTGRCCAGAAATAATCTGGTTTGTCAACCCAATGTAAATTGCAACTTACCAGATTCAAAAAACAAGTTATACTGCACAAGTTACGTCTCCATTCTGAGTGATCTGTTTAACATTGAAAAAGAAGCATTTGAAGACAAAGGGCTGTATGAATTTAACGATTTCTTATGCAAGAATGCCTTTCAATCGTGTGACAACTGCAGGACTAACAATTGCAGTAGTTGTACTAAAGATGGCAATGRTAAAGACAGTTGTTCGTGCTGTTATAGAGACTGCCTKTTACCATGTTTATCKTATTACTTGTTCCAGTGTGCGTCCAAGCTGAAGCCAAAAAGATGCGCTACGGGTGATGTCAGTGAATTTGATCTGACACCCAAATATGGAAAMGACATGAGACTGAAATTTAACTGCTACTTAGAGCACGAGCCGCCATCGAGTCTCTACACACTAAGGTACAGGGTGCGTCACGTGGCAGGAAGACCGTTCACTTCACARTGGATTTCCAAGACACAAAGCTATCATTATGGCCAAAAACACACTGACATTCTAGATTCTCTAGCWATAACTCACAACAGYAAAGCTGTCAAACAATACTACATGCGAGCTGTTAGAAACAAYATTAAGGAAGGATTCAAGTACAGCGTCGCTGAAGTRGATAACAAACGAGATCCAATCGACAATGCTGGCAGTAGWAAAAGGATTCAGCCAAAACAGCCATTTCTATTTCATGTTGGAGACAATTCGTGGAAGGAGAGAAGTACCTGTTATCGTCTGGAGGACTGGCAGTCAATGATGACAAGCGACTTTGTTAACTTTACGTCACCRCAAATACGTAAGCTAGGCCTGTCTAAAGGTGCATTTTCTTACGAGGTCACTGACTCGTTGCCGCGTCTTCAAGTCAAAATTGCCAAATCAGAATCTATYTTAAAATACGTCCTAAACGATTCCATTATCATMAACGATGAAAGTTTTCAAAGTAAAATTGAACGCCAAAACTCTACGTGGACCATTCAGCTAAAAGGGAAACTTAGACAATGTCCTAGTGTWATAGGATTGTCCGTCATTGACGAGGTTGACYACGTGAAAGTCATTGAGAGCGATCTTCTTGTTCTGTGTCCAGATAGGAAATTCAATATAAAGCTCCAGATTCCTCGCGCGGGCGAAAAAGATCGAGAGAGACTGTTTTCTGTTTTCCTTTCCGACTCGAAGCAACTGTATAAGTTACAAGCTGCTGTCGTTGACAGGACGGGGAACTCACAAAAGGACCAATTCAAAGGAACGAAAAAGGATACCAAAAGAGAGCCATGGTTTATACTTCTACCGTTGTTTATAACAACTGGCTGTGTGCTTATAGCCTTAGTTGGACTCATAATTTACGCGCATAAAACCGTTAAAAAGCCGCCAAAAATGAAGCTGGCGTCCGCGTCTGGTTGGGTGTGGGTTGAAGACAGTAACAAAGAGAAAAAAGATCCAAACAGACTCAAACGACGCCATCTTATCCTCGTTGTGTTTGTGATYGTTGTAAGAGTCGTGTACAGTTTGGTTTTTACTTTTTCGATGGCTTTTGCCATTCTYACCCTTCTCCACGCCGATAACATGAAGATTATAAACGACTATCGRTCCTTTGTGAAGAGTAAAGTGGAAGAAAGCAAGTCGATTGCTTTACAAATGGACCAATTCCGAGAAAAAGAAATCAAGTCTGCAACWGATCAGGCTGAAGATGTTCAGAAGGCATGTGACTATCATCTTGGTAAACAACTGAAGTGGTTGCAATTCAACATGAGCTGCACCATGCAACTGAATCATATGAAAATGTTCAATAAGATATCGAAAAAGATCATTGATAAAGTHACTGCTGAAGTGGAGATTCTTGAAAAGAAAGTCAAAACAAAGATCAAAAAGTTTTCTGAAAATACCAAACACAAATTAAGTAACTTAAAAGATGACGTTGACAGYTATGGTCGTAGGGTATATAACAATGGATGGTTCGCGCTCCCAAAACTAGCGTATAAGATCGCTAGAGGCAGAAAAAAGAGGGCGATTGACGGAAACATGAACCTTCTAGAAGATAGAAATTCCAACGAGATAAGAGGTTCCCATGGAGAATTAAGCAGGAAAACGAGGTCGATTGATAGCAGGAAGCCACAAGAAGACAGAAATTCTCATGAGGATCAGATTGAGGAGATGAGCACAGCGGTGGAAGTATTATCGCGTGTAAGACGATCSTTCTCCAATAAAAACGYTTTCATCRGMTTTCTTGATTTTATTGGAGTCATGGACAAAGATAAAGTCGCAGAGTTGGAAAAGTCCATCAATAATAAAGTAGATTCTATGAAAACAAGTTTCGATGATTTTAAAACAACGATGGCAAGTGGACCACCACCATCTCTACCCCTATCAAYTGGTTTCCTTTGCCCTGTCCGACACCTCGCTAAAAAGGCCAAGGCAGAACTCGAGACAGGGCTCCATGGTGGTCTCAAGGAATTGTGCAAGAAAACTCAAAGCGGTGTTCAAAAGGATGTCCACTGTTTAAAAGTGAACGCCAGCAACTTCTGCTCTCCCGAGGAAGTGGATGATGTGTTTGGTAAAAACCAACAGCTCGACTCTTCATCTCAAAGAGTGTACTTCGAAGAAGCGTCAGGGGTTGACTCAGAGCAGAATGTCACCTCAGCTAACAAGTCGTCCGTGATAAAAGCAGCTCWGGGTAAATCCCACTATAATATTGAAAAAGGCGATTCATTTGAAGAGCAAATTGATGCTCAGAAAACSGAACGYTTAGAAAAGAAAGGCAAGCTCAAAAAGTTAGGCAGCATCTACGATGCCGAGGTGTTTACCACCATTCGTAAAATTGTCTTGTACATCATGGCTACTATAGAYATCCTTCTTTTGGTCTACCGAAGCTTAAAAACKTATCAAATWGTCATGAAACTRCTCTACGGCTTTGAACAAGTCGTCAACCACGAACAGTACGAGTTCCATGAACCCGACACTAAAGAAAAGGTCGAAAATGTCATCAGACGAATTCCTGACATCCTTGCAAAGTGTTTCACAAAGTATATCAGTGCCGTTAAAGAGATGCAGAAAAAAATCCTCCGTACTAACATAGTCCCCATGGTGATAGCCATAGCGCTTGGAGCAGTGACTATCTATCTGATCGTCGTTATTRCGTTTAATGTCATGAACGTCACGGTGATAGAGGAATTGGGAGGCTACCGYATCGTGTCCGCACGACTCGACACGGATCTTGAATTCACCAATGGAGCCATAGCCGAYCACATCAACTTCTTGAACGACCATGACATGAAWATCTACAAGAAGTCTGTCGCCAAAACTCTCACTGATTACAATAATGTCCTTCAAGACTTYGCAGAGTCSGAGAAGAGGCGCTTTGAGGAGTTTAACGCGCAGTTGTGCTCTGTTGATAACCGYACACGCTGCAGTCCTCTGGTTCCAGATTTCCCTAAAGTATCGTTCAGCTCATGTATCATACCGAGGTTTTCTTCAAAGAAATATGGAGGCTACARTGGGAAGGAATAYCGTTACAAGCTTAAGTACGAATCAAAGAAATACGTAGATGCATTACGAAACATCTTCCTCGACACGCTGTACTTCGTTATTGCAGTAATTTTAATGATTATYTTGATCACCGTCGTCACTGTTATTCTTTTCTTCTTTATGAAATCTAAAGACATGATCAGGGTTAAATACATTCATATTTACCCTACCCTACCYCCCGAGTTAGTCAAGGAATATGAATTAGGYGAGCCTTTAGATGAAGCAAGTCAAAAAGRGGACAGCAAAGAGAATGTTAACACTACACCTAAAAAGGTCAAGATTCCTGAGAAATTTCGTAATAAAATGGAAGACAGCGAGTGCTGAATAACCAAGTTCTGCATAATAAGCTCTGCTCGTGGAAAACATTTGATTGGTTCGGATATAAGCCTTATAATTTTTGTACATACCAGGAAAATTAGCATTGGTTATTTTATTTAAGAGGTGCTGAATTTTTGAAATTCAGCTTATATTTGGCACTACTGTACTAACTTAACTTGTTTTTGTTGTAATAGTTAAATGGCGTAAAGAATTGTAGTTATAAACTTTATATAGAGTAAAGTAAATGTTTAGCAAAGCATATCTCAGTTTTTGTTCATTCCGTTCAACATGGCGACGATAGTTTGGTCTTTTCTTGGTCATGATGTTCCACTGAGCCAAGAACACAATTCATTTTTCTCGTCAGCAAACAGTAATCAAATTGAAAAATCTTGTCCGTATCGGTGGACAGTCTCTATGTTATTCTAGCTGAACAAAGCGATAATAGAGATGCAAACTTACTCTGTCGACTAGTCATTTGATACTTTAATGATTATCAATTAACTAATAATCTATTGATTAATTTTCAATCGTCATTACAATTATATATAATATATACATTTCATAAAACAATAGTCATTCAAAACGCATGCGCTACACTACTTATACWGCAACCATACACAAGACGAAWTTCCGATGAMGACCCATTAACCTAAGCGCCCTTMCTAAGCATAATAAAATTATTAAGYAGAGTTTTAGAAAAAYGATGAGGATACTGATGATCTATAAGGACCACTTGGTGGYCTTGCACGAGCTGCCGCTGCATGGCCGGTACCATGTACAACTTCCTCGAGAAATCTGCGGCAGAATCACRGAAAAATAACATCAATAAGCAATAGTTTAATCTAACACGCCACAAGAAACTAGCTGGACATAAAACAGAAATTTAAGCTAATAGATAGCAACGATTTATTACAAAGTATGAGTTGAGGAGTCAAAACATAGAGACTGCCGTCGGTTTTGGGTGTAATTAAAGGCCCAGTGTGCACCATTATGCTTTGGGGCCYKMAGGCGGCCATTTTCAGTTTACCRAAAGTCTATAAATTGTACTGTGCGTTTCGAATCTTTGACCATCTCACTTTTCTAAGTCCTTKAAACGTTAATATTAGAGCTTTAAACCATCTGACATTCGTTTTATGGTGATATTTGGATACTAGAAGTGTTTTGGTGTAAATCATAACAATAAYAGAGGCGCGCAAAGCCTAATGGTGCAAACTGAGCCTTTAAAGTCCAAAATCATTTTACCCTCTTTTTACCCGTGTATCCCTTGTTCTTTTATCAAAAATGTTTCACAAGAAAAGAGCTGAGAGTTAACTTACGATCTGCAGTTATGAATTGTTGTTCCACCAAGAATAACTTTGACTCCAGGCAAGGATTTGTTAATATTGYACACRGCCAGAGCTTCTTCGTACGTCACTCCACCAATCATRAACACGATCACATCCTGAGGTCTGATATAAAGAAGAAATTAAACATATGAYCGTAATATAGAGGTGCCCGCATAGAGTTGGAAAGGAAASACCCCATGRAATTCACRTTACCTGTCCCTGAGCTGCGAGGGTCCAATRTAGGGATACTGAGTTTCCTTTAGCTTTCCTTTAAACAAATTGTCGAGGATTTCGGACACCAACGGYGTATGCTGTGTGTAAATGTTCTCAACTCCCTACATGAGTAATTAAAAAAWAWAAAATAAAAAACTTGACTCTTARGGCTCTTGCTTTTTAATGCCCTACCGCTGACTAGGGACCATATTGCTATTGTTGTATAAGGACCTTACCTTTAATCCTTTCAAGATTCGTCTTGTCAGTGACAAAGGAGTTTTATTCTGTCCAAAGATATCGCTCCCTCTTACGTTACGTCCRGCATACTGGATAATAGCCGGGACCAACTGAAAACAACCAAAAATATACTCTATATAAGTAAAAAAATTATTTAATATCATTGAAAACAACAGGAAAACGTATTGCATCTGTAATTTTCGTTTGTTACGTCACAGCGGCCATCTTGGTTGAGCTCGACAAATGATTTCTCATTAGWHTCTATTGTTCATTCCTCCCACATGGCCGCCGGTCTTTTGTCTTTTGAATCGCATGGAAATGGTTKAAAACTAGCAATAGCGCTYATCTGAACGGCTASTTTTATTTTGATTYACAACTACTGTTCGTATACTACACAGAAAAATAATTAGCAAAACCTATTGAMAGCCGTCACTCTGCAGCCGCTAAGAAAAATGGCGATTTTCCCCAACTGCGCAATATCGTCGTAACCTTGACCTGCCTTAACCTGAATACACCTAATTGAAGAAACATTGTCGGGTCCAAAAAGGTCAAATCATAGAAGCTAAGACCGAAAGGGTACTTGGGAAGACAAACAATTTGGCTAATTTCATAACAAACAGCTCTCCAGCATAAAAGACTATCATGCTGTTCATCTCACTAGCTCTACTTGCTTAGTGTACACCGTATATGCAAATGTAATCCCAATTTAGTGGCACTCAAAATCCCTTTCGGTCTTAGCTTCTATGATGTGACCTTTTCGAACACGACTACGTTTTTTCAATTAGGTGTATATAAGAGCAATACCGAAAACCAAACTCAATTGATCGTTAAAAAAGGCTGTCAAACTACTAATCTTTAACCTTAATTTTAGTTCCCCAATTTGCGCTCGCTGTCAGTAAATGATCTTTTAATTTGTAAAGTGGYAATACATCAAAGATCAGCGTTGCTTTTGAATGCGATCAATATTTCAGAAGCAATTATTCCATAAACTAAAAAGCCGCAGCATATGGCGGCATAAAAAACTWTTATTCCTTCAAAATCCAATTAAAATTGRATACAGGCGATTATGTCTAAAAGGTATTTGCCCGTATTAGTAATTTTGGTCACCAATTGGGTCAGTAATGGTCCTAGACAACTTTAATAAATATATTGTCTGTGAATAATTGTTATCCCATACAAGTAATTATCTAGAAAGTATGATATTTTGAGTACGAAATGACACATAAACAACATTTTTTTTCGAAGCAACTAAAAATAACTTCAAATTCCCGCAATTATTTATATTACTCTTAGAGATCAGAGCAAATATTAATTATTTTCATGATTGCTTTTGAATGAGTCATTATCGCGCAAGATTGCCATTTTTTTGGCTATTGTTAGTATAACAAAATCGCTTAGTGCTGACCTTTTTTTCGACAGATTTTTAATCGTAATCACGTCCGCCCATTGGAAATGTATTCAACAGTTCACTAGAATTAATTGTTTGAAGTATTACAAGAATCTAAACAAAAATCTAAAGCATTAATTTCCAAATCCATTAAAAATGTTTTAATTACAAGCTAATAGCAAAAGCGAACATTATCATATCGGTGAATCATAAACTAATTACAAAGACATTCTTTCAAGCTTTTTAAATTCCTTCGCAACGACCTTAAATGAATATCTTTTTAAACACCACATTTATTAAAGAGAACTTGTGATCAATAGGAACAGAAGAGCTGAAAAAAAACTCGTTGACTTCGAATGGAGAACGATACTTTTCCCGATCAAACCGCAAGCACTTATGTAGCAATTGGCCTGTATTGCGTTCTTGGTGTGGCTTTAATAGCAGCAAATTTTATGGTACTCTTCCTCGTTTACAAAAACCACAGCTTAAGGACGCCAACTAACACATTGTTGGTTAGCTTAGCAGTTAGTGATCTTTCGACGGGCCTTCTTGCTATCCCTTTCACAACTGCATGTTCATTGACTATTGAAAAGTCCACTTGTATTACCATGGATGTTTTTGTGAGGTTCTTGGCGTTTTCCTCTGTGGCGCATTTAACTGTATTGACTTTTGAGCGATATCTGCGAATAACCAAGCCCTTTTTATACAGAGCACGTGTGACTAAAGCAACTACTCATCGTGTGATCTTTGGGATGTGGGCTTTCTCTCTCGCTAGTTCTTTATCACAACTTATTTGGATTAGCAATGAAGACCTCAGTGAACAARATCAGCTTAAAATCGACATCATCTACGACTGCGTCTCGTTTGCGATCATTGTTRTCSTCCCTTTGATCGTAATTTCAGCCATTTATATCGCTATCTTCAAGTACATCAGGAAACAAAACATCAGAAGATCCGMAGCAACGAGACGAACGAGCCACAAAAGGGCTAAAACAGGGGAGAAGAAACTCTTGCTCGTCTTCCTGGCAATGATTGTGGTCTTTATTCTTGGTTCCTGTATGTACTTTTACTGGACATTGATGATGGATCTCTATGAGTATCACAACATTCGCTTCACGCCACTTTCTCGTGATATCTTTGTTATTTCCACCATGTTCTTTCGATTCTTTTCCTCGTTATGTAACCCGCTGCTATTGACTTACTTCAAACAMGATTTCTTAACAGCCATGAAGGTAGTTATGAACAGAAAATGAATCTTAACTCGATGGTTYAATCAAAATCAATCTCAAAAAATTACTAATTGGCATAACTTTCACGTCAGTCTAGGATCATAGTAATTGTTTGGGGCGCACTTCATCTTTTTACGAACTGCTAAGTGGACTTGACATCCATACAAGRTTCCAATTTTTTCCATTCAAAAGATTTGATATGTAGTACATAAATTAAAATAAGTAAATAAAGTAAATTTGACTGTATTTTTAAGGGATATTAAACCAATTAATGGGCTTACTTACATGTAATAAGAGCCCTTAAAGAAACTGAATAACTTTGGCAGCCGTCGAAAGCAATAWCGATGAGGGTGGGGCCGTTTAAAAGACAAAAAATAGGYTGTGCGTTCTTTCGACTTGCAGAATATGTTTCAYTRYTTTGGAATTCAAGTCCTTTCGGTACAGTATCCCGTCCTCTCCCTCCCTCCMTCGTAACRAAGTGACTGCTCATGAATCAATCGATACTCACTCGTTTATAGTTCTCCGACAATCCCTTCCTAGTCAACATGCTGACAAGACCTGACACATCGTTATTATTATGTCGTTCGTAACGTAGAGCGTACAGCAACACGAGGCGTAGCAGATCGATGTCTGTAACATTCTCGTTGGCCATAACGCGACGAATATTCTACAGAAAAAAMGCGAACGACGCGACGTCAAATGTTATAAACAAAGAACGAAAAAGAAAGTGAATCAAAGGAGAGAGGTTAAAAGTATGAACGAAAAAGGATTGAAACAAGTGAAAACATCAAACCCACGAAACAAAATCTAATGGTCAGCAAAAACGCACAATCAGCGACCCACACAGGGACCGCGGAGCGTGAATTTGTTTGGGGGGGGGCTAGCGGCGAGGAGGTGCTAGGGGGGGTTCGGAAATTTTTGAAATCTTAACTTTCGGAAATGTCATTTCCAGCGTTTTGAGGCATTATCAAAGACATTTTTACCGCACACACGGTCAGTTTTTACACAATTTTTATGGAATATATATGGATGGCTCTTCGCTTCTTTATTTAAAATGTCGGAAAAATTATTGGGGGRGCTGTAGCCCCCTAGCCCCCCCTGCTCCGCGGTCCATGCCACAATATGTAACAACAGTCATCTTTGATATTTCGACCGAAATATAGGGACAAGATTAATACATTTTCAGATTAGCTATTACCTGCAATGCAGAAGTATGGTCATTTTGGCAAGAAAGTTCTTGCTCGACTTCTGATACATCAAGTAACGACCGTTCGCTGACCAGTCTTGACAGCTCGCTCACCATGGTCACGTGTTTGGATACGGTTCCAGACATTTTCTTGAACTGTGGATAATTCTCTACAAATGCCTATAAAAACAGCAATAATTTTGTAGAAAAAGTATCGCTAATATAGTTATACATAGATAAACATTATTTACTCTGTGAGATATGCACATATGTAAGAAATACTATATGGAATCGTTAAATCCGTGAATGAACTCTAAATGTAATTCACGAGTTTCTGGAGGCCTTTATTATGCCTCTATTTTGTCATTCCTGTTTCATTAAATAGATTTTGCCATAGAACACTCTTTACAGATGATTGTTTTTGATTTTAGGCAGGAATGTCTTGTAAGACTATTTTATTGGGCAAGCAAATAAAGGAACTTGTTTACAATGTCAAATKGAATACGTTTCTCAGACCAGTGGGAATCGAACTAGAACCTCACTGTATACAAGCCTACATTTTAACAGTTGTATAAAAAGATAAATTAAACACCGTAAAAAAGTAGGAGAAGTAACTTACTGACGTTTCGGACGTTAATCCTCGGAGTAAAAGACTTTTTTGGAGTAAAGGACTTTTACTCCGACGAAGGATTAATGTCAGAAACGTCAGTAAGTTACTTCTCCTACTTTTTTACGGTGTGTAATTTATCTTTTTACACAACTGTTTCTTTAGAAACACCGACACAGCTCACACTAGTTTATCACTAGTTAACTACGCTGTCAACCTTGCTTACCAAGATATTATACATGACACACTTGCAAATGATTCAAATTATTTAATACTCTGAAAGCTAAATACCAACCTTCATATCTGAGATTGATTCCAGCTTCTGGTTTGATTTGACGTGATGTTGAAAGTCATCCATTAATGTTTTGATATTTTGTCCAATTTCACCAAAGTTGAGGTAGATGTTCTAAAATAACAAAAGACAATTGAACTTTCACTAAACTCCTTCACAGCTGTCTAGAGTGTTGTCACATAGAACATACAATATTCTATTTTTTTTCTATTTCTACAGTTGCRATACTAACCTTTTGGTAAAATTCATCATGTTCAGCAGACATCACAACTTCCTGTACAGAAAAATGAATTCCATGTAAAGAAATATGAATTGGAATGGAATGGACCACAAAAKGGATGAATGAATTAAAAAAGAATGGATGGATGGAAAGATAAGAAAATTACACCACTATACCTGCAGCTCTCGGGTAACTCCAGGGCACTTYGACAAATCCACTCTGTTRTTTTTGATAGTTAATARTTCATGTACCATTGCTTGGTAGGTCCACTGTTAGCAAAATATAATGTTGATTATGACAATGTGGACCTTTTTATAAAATGGCAACCACTTATTAACATAATTTTGTATTTCATTATGAGGGAAAATAACAAAAATGACCTATTTCTGGAGTGGGTCATTTTTTCTTGAATTCAAAAACCTATTTTGGCAGTCATTATGGAGACTGTAAGACTCTGTAAGGTGTTGACTAAGGGCTTTATGTCTTACCTGGTTCAGGAGAGGAGTAACGGGGTCATCTCGTCTGTCCAGTATCAGCAATAAAGGTGGTACATCAGACCGTCTAAAGTCAAACAACTTCGCTTCTTCATTGATCTTTTGCTGTAAGAAAGTCACACTTTATTAGCTAACAGGAGAGAACCTGATTCTCTATTATTACTACTTCGAGTACAACACCTACCACCATTAACACTATTATT